ACACAATGTATGAAACAACAATGACCACACACCATCGTCCAATTATTATTCAATAAAGTAGATTGCATCCACCACTCGACAAGTGAACATATCGCTTTATTGCCCAACAATTAGTGACGTAACTGGGGTGATAAGTCGTGGAACCAATACTATTCCTTATTTGCACAACCCCAAGGTTTCATTTAGTACTCCCATTATAGTGTTTGGGGTGGAGTTTATTGTTGTTGTAACTGACCACCGCCTGACCGCGCCGGCAAGTGGCTAAAGACAACAAGAATTATTTTCTCTGTGGTTTGTCTGGAACATTGTCCAACGGCCAAAATAAACATTTTCTTAAAACAGACCGCAATTATCCAACATGCAAATTGAGATGGATAGATAACTCTTTTTAGTTCGCTGAAAATATACGATGTTCTTTCAGGGTGTGTCTAAAAATATTTTTGCATGCAACGCAAATAGTTCTTGCGTAAAGTGATAATACAGTGACTTCGGCAAGCAACAGAAAACGTCGTGATGACATTTCAGATAATACGGGATGAGCAGCCATTTAATCCTAATGGTTTGATCTTATCCTAAATCCATAGATTTCGGAGAAGGATCCGTCTAGAAACCAGTAATACCTTTAAGATTTATTTATTATGTTATTTATTACCAATATGCATTCGCTTGTGTAAAGTTATGTTATGTATACTATTAGCCTTGTATTTTTCAGTATCTGCAAAGTAGGTATAACATCATTCCCCCGCCACAAATAAAACGCGATGAGCAAATTTAGTTTAACCTATTTATTTAAATTCAAACATGCAATTATTCTCTGTGCACTCAATAATCATAAAACTGTTATCATAAATATCTCGTCTGTAACCAAATAGTAAATCAAGCTATTCCCAATAATAATATGCATTTGATAATTTAAGAGAATTTATAACAGTCAACATCTCGTAAATTTATAATCGAATTAATTGGAACGAGATCGAGTTAATCGAATCGAGTGGTTCCGCGATGAATACTGACTAATGACCGCGCGTGGCCTGTCCATTATAATCACACCCCATCCCTAAACCAGACCATTCCAATTTCAAATTTTATTTTTCTATTGTGCAAATCAAGTTACGAAATAGGTTGACCATTTCATGAATTTGAAAGTGTTTCATCATGCAAACCGCGAGAGCCAGAAAAAAATAATATTTCATAGAAACCTAGATACCTTATCAAAAATATGTTTTGAACCAAGAAATTAATTTTACCTAAAGTACTAACTTATTTACTTAGTGCAATATTAAAAAATATTCCTAAATCCCACCAAATCAAACTTTACAACAACTGCACGTATTGTTTTTTATTTTTTTGCTTTGAAAAGTCGCAGAAACAATTATTGTATTCGAATCCATTAAAAAATTCATTAATTCGAATTGTACCTATTGTATTTGGGTATTTACAATCATTTGTAACGGTCCCTATGCAAATCCCATCTTGAGTGGCGTGGCGACAGCCGTGGATAAACTAAAAAACTGTTTTTAATTGCCCCAAACTTTAATCTTTGTGAATGTATTTCGGTGACAACTGTTGACGACTGTGACGAATACGAATTAATATTATTATTTTATTGCTTCTTTTAAGTCAAACTATAAAAAAACATTATACCAATTTCATTTTTGGTTTTGTGGTAAATATTTGTGGAATAGACTCGATGCCTCTAAGAACGAAATATTTTTTTTAATAATATTAGCAATACAATTTAAAAAAATACTTTATATGCGATAGAACTTTGGCATTCTTCGAAGTTCGCTTTTCTTTTGAACACTTTCATTATGTCCATCTAATTATTAAATGTAAAATAAATAAGTAGGTAATTTCTTGTATGTAAATGGTAGGAATTTAATTTTAATTGTTCAAGGACAGTCCATCCATAAAAAAACAGTAATGTCGATGTATTCGGCGAATTTAGAATTCTAGAAAATTTTACTAATTCAGTTACAATACTGAGACAGATTTAGTTATTGTAATTATGCTGTATTATAATCAACATTATTGTAACGTTTATTTTTACAGTCGGAAAAAAAAACTTGCAAAACTTTCAAGTTCTTTGCGCTCAATGCGCTAATAAAAAAACTTATAACGCCATCTATCGTAAGCTATAAGAATAATACTCTGTTCAAAGCAAACAAAACGCTATAGATGGCAGCATTGAACATTCATTCATTATGTGTAAAAAGCAATACTTTTATTAAATACGAAATGCAACTTTATTACACATTTCCACAGAATTTGAACAGCAGTAATTTTATTAAAATTTATGTTTACAAATACGTTATATAAATACGTTCCGTTTCATTCATCGTTGTTAAAATACCCCCTCATCTTCCGTTCCGTTTTCTGTCCTTGTCACTTTTGACATTTGGGGTAATTTTAAAAAGTTACAGCCGCGTCGCGTCTCGTACGGATATCGATTTTATTTATTTATTTGTTGTCTTGAACAGCTGGAATTCTGTTTGCAATCAATGTGTAGTGGATACACGAGTGATTAGTCAGTGTTTGTGTATTGTCCTAAATGTCTACGCAGTCCAAAACGATGCCTGTTCTAGACCTGAAAGTTTACATCCGAGTGGTGGCTGCAGTTTTCTCTGTAAGTAAACACGTCTCGATTTCACTGTTTACTGTCTTGCCGGACACTAATTAACTCGGTTGTGGTGTTCGCTTCCTTAATTGGCTAATCAGCTGACGATACCTACATATTTGATTTCACATATAGGTACAACATTTTACTATTTTTTGTAACAAATTAATTTGGCGGTAGTCGTAAAAGTGTTACGAGGTCGCTTTTCTTTTCTAGATTATTATTGTCAAGGGTAGGTAATTAGATTTCTAAGATAATAAATCTGGAATTTCCCTGTATTAATTTCTTCCCATTGTTTGCAACTTTACACAAATATTACAGGTGAACTAAATAAATAAGATACTGACACAGCTTTGGATATTTATTTAATTTAAATTCAATTTGATGGAACAATGTAGTAACAATAATTGTTTTAGGTACAAGTCTTATTTATGAACCAATGTTACAATGTTACTACAAATTATGGTGATAATGGTAGTATTTTATGGTTCCCTATATTTATTTTAAAATTAAATAAATAGGGTCAGAGGGAATAGTTAACGAGGGATTTAAAAGAGTAAACAAAAATTTTTTTTTACTTTGACTATAATTTCACAAAGTATTTCTCTTAGATATTCATTAGTGTACTTTCTTTTTTGTTAGAAAAGTCTACTTATTGAGTTTTCTATTGAATGAAGTAATTTGATAAAAATTGAAAATTAAGAATATGAGACATTCTTATAATCACATTTTGTGCAAAACTGAAGAAAATGTATTTATTTATTTAATAACTCAACACCTATTGTAAAATTCCGAATTTCTCAAAATAAATAAAGGTACACAAACAAAATAAATATTTGTATCTTTGCTTTATTTTATCATAAGTTTTTGCCACATAACTGGATGGTTGATGTAACTTTTTATTGCATTTAATTATGAACATATAAATTAATTTATAACTTATGTTTTTCCTAGCTTTCATCAACAACAGCATTTGTGATGGCTCTCCTCCGCTTGCTGAATCCAGAATTATTCTACCTTGACCCACTCGATGGGACTGATGTTGGTGAGTTGAATATGAATAACTTTTAATCTTACTTTTCTCCTCCCTTTATTATATGAAATTATTTGTTTCCCTTTATTATATGTAATTTTTTTTTTTCAGTATTACTTGCTGCTGTTTATAGATTCACAGTTTAGGCCATATTCATACTTTAAACTAATAAAATATCTAAATACATTTTCTGTAATAATTACAAATTATGTTACTACTTGTATTAAATCTATTTCCTACTAATATAGATCCAAAAGTTTTGTAAGGATGTTTTTATGGAACTTTGTTATTCTGTAACACAAAAACTACTGAACAGATTTTGATGGAACCTTACAGAATATTATAATTTATTTATACATCATATCAATTTAGGCCTCTTTAAGGCGAGAGTGAATAGGTACTTACTGGTGAGGAGATAGACCATATCCTAGGCTGTGTCTCACTTAACATCAGGTTTGATTGCAGTCAATTGCCTGCTTTGTGCTTCATAAAAAATAATTTAGCTATAATTTGTAAGGTTCTGTGTGAAACTAAATTCAAACTAAAGCTTCTTTTTCTTCCTCGGTCTCTCACTGATGAGGATCGCGACCACATAGTGTTTCTTCACAGACTACGGTCATAAGCTGTATGGTCCGCACGATGCAAGCTTCCTCCCACCGTCTTCCTCACCGCGTCTGACCATCTCGTCGGTGCCCTACCCCGAGCACGTCTGCCTTTCATTTGTCCCAAGATAATTTATTATACTCACAGTAGGATATTGATAGATCGTTTCATCCACGAAGACGCGCCCCACCATTCTTCCGCTAATGTTTGAGATAGAGTGTTATCGGTACACGCTAAAATCCATAAGTGCACAAGCACACTACAATAATGACGCTCGGATTGCTTGGATCAAACTCCCCGCACCCCGCGCTTCTCTCGACCAAACTTTGGTGGGGCGCGTCGTCGTGAATGAAACGCTCTATAAAAGCAGTAAGCTCACAAAACTCACATCCTTTTTCAGTGATCCACTACTTCATCGCGGGCTTAATGGTGGTGGCCAGTGCGGTGGGCTTCCTGAACTCGTGCGTGGTGCTCAACCGAAGTGCCGCGCTCAACAGTGGTCGAAATCTGACCACCTGGCTGCTGCTGGATTCGCTGTTTGAGACGAGTAGAGTCGTGTATGTCTTCGTGTGTGAAGTGGTGCTGAAAGGAAAAGGACCGCTGCAGGTGTATGAGCTACTTGTCAGCGCTGCGCAATACCGTGAGTATAACTGTTGTGTGATCTGTTTAACTGCTACTCAATTTTTGAGACCAGGTGTTGTGTATTTATGTGTGAGGTGGTAATTAAAGGAAAAGGCCCACAGGTGTATGAGCTGCTCATCAGCTGCGTAATACCGTGAGTATAATCACAGTTTATTTATTAATTGCTAGTGTAACTGCTCGAGTAGTGCGTGGCGCTTAACAGCGGCCGGAATCTGACCACCTGGCTGCTGCTGGATTCACTGTTAAAAACCAGAAGAGTGGTGTACGTGTTTCTGTGCGAAGTGGTGCTGAAAGGAAAAGGACCGCTGCAGGTGTATGAGCTACTTGTCAGCGCTGCGCAATACCGTGAGTACAAATAATGTGGGATTATTTTTACCTTAGGATAGGACATGTGGCTACTGCTCGACTCGCTTGAAAAGGCCCGCTGCAGACGTATGAGCTACTTGTCAGCACTGCACAATACTGCTGGGTAAAGGGCCTCTTTTTACCATACCACGTGGCTCCTCGACCGTTGTTCGTGTGTGAAGTCATGAAGGTAGGTAACTGCTTAAAATAAAGCATATACCTGTAGTATTAGCAGTCTACAGTAGCCCTTTCGTCAATAGTGATTGAATCTATTTTCAGAACGCCCTGTACAGTGATAAGTGGAATTGATAGAATGATGAGTGTACGAATAAATTCGTTAATAATATGTGCCTTGACTTCACTGAGAATGACGAAGGTCCGTCGATCGGCACTGCCCTCTTCTATACCTACGGTAGCGTGTGTTGTATAGCTATCCAAAAAGGTTTTTAATTTGTTTTCAGAAGCATGCAATACACGATATGATATAAATGCTTCCTTAAATTTAATTTTATTTGAACATTAAAAACGTTATTCAGTGAGTCGCCAATTGGTAACAGAAATAAACGATACTTCTGTATTCATATGATTTTGCGGAACTTTATTCATTATTTATTTAGCGTTTTTAATTGTAATAAAAATTGCTTAGTGATTGAAAAGTGCCTGAGTTATAAACAGTTTTACATCCAGAGCAGCCTTACTTATTTCGTTTAGAGTGACTCTAGACAGGTAGTAATTAACAAGGCAAAACTCTAATTACGGCTTATTATTAATGTTACGGGATTGTTTGTTTCCAGTGTTGGACAGTTTCCTGTACTGCCAGATGATACTGCGGCACTAGTGGCCGGCCGCCGCGAAATCCGGAGCCCCGGGATTTCGCCCCCGGCGCCCGTCTCACCGGCCCTCGGGGGTTTATGATGTACGTACTGGGGTTAAGGCACAGATGACGGCAAATCAAGCTGAACACTGGCATCTAATGTAGATGCGATAAGGGCTGTTTTGCTGCAAAAATGTTAAGTTTGATGTGCTGTCGACTGTGCATTTCGTCCACGCAAAAACTGGTCTGCGGGCCAAATGTCACCTTTAAAAAGCAAAGGGAAAGGAGAATGGGCAAAATCGTATGGCGCTTGGTCTATCAGCGGCCAGGAACAATTTTTTGTTTTTTTGGTTTACTATCACCCTACAATCACCCTCAAAAAGATTTATATCTGTAGTGTAATTATTAATGGAATTAAATACATTTTTATTTCAGATATGTAAGCCTGAGATTTAGCTTATTAATAACTAAGATTAAGTCCTAAAAAATAAGGAAATAATATAAAATGACTTGTTTTCTTCAATACATATTTTCAAAAACTTCTCCAAAAATAGTTATAATGATAACGTCGTCAGAACTCAGTGCTATAATTACATTAATACATTTAATATAGGTACATAGGCTATTTTATTATATTTATTTTATTCATCAAGACGAGGATATTTTATTGCCGTCATCAGGACACACTGTACATTATTATACATTAATACATTTAAAGTACATAGGCTAGTCTTGTAAACGGTATAATGAGGTTTCGAAATACTTTTGAATACATAACTAATGTTAATAAGTATTTTATACATTGGGTATGCACATTTTTTTGCATATATTATCTAAGTATTTTACCTATATGTATTTTTTTTTTCTTAATGAGCTGCAATGTTACGTTCATAGTAAAAGTTAGTCCTTAGTAATAGTACTTTCATTTAATACCTATTTCGTTGTTGGCCGCTCATAGACCATTTTGCTCATTCTCCTTTGCAAATTCCTTTTATTAATAAAATTAAAATAGGTGTCCGAGATACATATTTGATACAACATGTATACCTATAGGTATTGTTATTTTTGGTTTAAGAATTTTAACGAAATATTCCTTTTTTTTTAAACTCAAGACCAGTTTTTGCTACGGCGAGATATATCTTAACCCGGTATTGATATAACTTTATAGTTAGCACATAGATGTATTGTAGATCTAATTCTATATGTATGTTAGAGAACATATTTTCGTATATAAGTTAGGGGGTGGCAAAGTCTAAGCTTCTCCAAGCATTTGGACATTGAATAAGACTGCGATCGTCTATCCTCTTTAGCTCTGAATTTTATAGACGACATTATTTTGATGTCAATGAGCTACGTTGATAATTATCAACATACTCAAACCTATCTGTCGCTGTCGCTCATGTCTGCTTCTCATATTGAGCGTAACCCACATCGGATGTTAGGAAAATAAAGTATTTGTGATGTCTTGTGTTCATTTATTTCCCCTTACCACGATGTAGCCACAAACCAAGCGTGAAGTATACTGCCTTCACGTACACATTATACGATAATATAGATTGAGAGCAGTCTTATCGAATTTGTTTTCCCTCTGGGCGGAGTATAGTTGTACCGTCACGAGATTGGTACAGTTACAGAGTGCCGCAGCTATGCCTGTCATTCAATGAAGGCTATCGTTTTAGCGCTCATCAGTTGGCGCCATTATAGAGTGAGATCACTGTCACTTGCTAGTGGCGAAAACAGTAGCGCCAACTGGTGAGCGCTGCAGGCACTATCGCATTTGCACTCACCACGATGGCGCCACTGTAGTCATGTCAATCGCCAGTGGTACCAACTGTTAAACAAGTATAAAAACGATAGCCCTCATTGGCGTGCATTTAAAATGTCAACATTTTAAAATTTGGCTGCCCGCCTCTCGCGCTGTACCACTCTACTGGCAAATTTTTGGCCTAATGGTTAGATAGACGTTGGTTTGACGTTTTTACATAAACCACCACCGACGGCAAAGGGCCAGTGAGGGTCAAATCAAAATGTAATGGCATCACATGACCGCCAACGTGTTTTATAAAACTGCGTGTGCCGTAGGTTGTGTATTTAATTTGAGACCCTTCTGCCAGGTCATCGGTGAGGGTAAATGAAAATTCGGTTAATGACACACCCCCTAAACCGTAGGGCAGTTCAGGCAACTGTCACATTCCATCCTGACTGTGATAGTTTAGGGTTTAATAAAACAATATGTTATACTTCCATATTTCATAATGAAGTTGTCGTATTGATAAGGAACTCATGCGTTTAAATATTTAAATTATCAAAGCCTAAAGAGACAATATTGTGATAAATGAAATATCAGAATGAACAATATCCTTAATAGTTTTTAAGTATTGAAGCCTCTGATATTAAATAACCTTTTTTAGTTTCTTTAAATGTTCCTAATTTTGTACTACACTTAAAAGCAAATGGTTTTATGTTTTGTATTTAGTTTTAAGAGGCTTTGAAAATAATTCAAGAGATTTATTTTATTCGTGATCACACATTTTGTTTCCGAGTTTAAACTAAGATCCATTCCATTTAAAGTTTTATACTTACCTTATAAATTAGAATTTCTTGATCAAAATCATCATTGATTGCGTAAAAATGTTTCAGAAAATGTATTCCCCTAGTATCTATCTTGACATGTTCCTTTAGTATTAGGATGTAGGTAGATTATGGCGTCTGTTTCACGTCTCAGTATTAGCGTCAAGGTACCACCGAATTATGCATCGTCGGCATATCATGAAGGTATATTTTCTTTTTATTAATTGAGATTTTTTATCTGTGATTTATTAATTTTATACCGTGTAAAACTTGTGCTACTTTGCTATTTTTTTACACTTTTATAATTTTAAGTTCCAAATAGAGTATTTCTATTTTTAGGTATTACTTTTGGCTTAATCTCGATTGCAAATTTATGCTAGTCATCTAAATTATTATTTTATTGGTTTTTCCCTGTGATTATATTTATTTTCTAGTAACTATTGTAAACAATCCTGAGAATTGTTTTGCCTAACATTTTATGAAAAAAGATACAATAAATTATATCAATAGGATTCACGATTAAAAAGTTTAATATGTAATCTAAATGGTGCTCTTTATTATTATCATTATTACATACGATAAAGAGAAACACGTTACTGCCGTTGATACGAAATGAAAATCTAAATATTTGTTTAATCTTTTTAATCAGTGAGTTGTCTGTCCAAAAATATAATGCGTACGCAGCTATCAACACTTCAACAGGCTACCGAATTACAAAGTGCACTTCCTTGCTATACACAACAAACTATACACGACTCTGGCCGGGGACGTGCGTTCACGCATATTTATACTTATGTATATTGATTTTGTTATTTCTACACCGAATTTGAGGTAAAAATAGTCGACAATATTGAAAAAATACTGTGAATGCGCGTCCCCGGTGTTACTATGTACATGATGAGCGCCGCCGCAACAGGAACAAGCGGCTCAACAACACCTACTGGCAACACTCACTCTGTTACGGCTCCTACACACTGGTCGGATCGCATCGCTTCTTTGGTAACTTTGGCGTATTGCTCTCTAAACAATACTCTTTCTTATCTGCATATAACTACATTTTAATCCTTGACACGCGCACATTATGCATTTACTACATCAACACTCTTGTGATGTTTCACGATCCGAACTGGTGTGTATGAGCCTTTTAACACAACTTACGTTTCCAATAAGTTATAATTGGGCTAGAAGAAATGCATTCCGCGAATGATATGATCATAAAAATATCTTAAACCGAAAAAAAAAAACAATTAAGTTTACTAATCATTGATCAAACAATCCCTGGAGGGATTAAAATGTCATTTCATTCTGCCCAATCTCGATCTAGCAACAGAATCGATATAAAATAATGTTTTAGTGAAGGACTAAACAGCATGGCGCCTAAGCATGTAAAATATTATGTACGTACAATTTAATTTTACCCTGTACATTTTAAAAGACAAAAATGTATACTCGAACGCATGTATGTATAGGCCGATTTTGTCAATCAGAAGTCAGCAGTAACATTTTGGTCCATCTACAATTATTTCACACTCGAGGTTCGTCAACATTATTCTACAATCACACGGGTGTTACTGCTGACTCTAAAATTTGTTAAATAAGTTACAAAAAATATTTGTTATTAATAAATATGGCTTTATAACATGACAATTTCTTTCATTTCACCAATAGTCGTAAAAAAATATTGCGGCGTCAAAAATATTACTCGCAACATCCAGACTCGGGCCATGGCACAAAACAAACTAGTTCGATTACTGATCACACTCGGCTCACCAATATAATATATTACGAATTTATTTTCAATTCAACTATTGCTACGTGTAAGAAAATACTATTCTTTCATCTTAATGGCACTTCTAAAAGTTTGTATTCAAATCTGAAATATTTTACCCCATACTCTTACTGCTTAGTTCTCTGGTATTTTAGGTTCTCCGTAGCTCTAATTCCATGGAATAATCACATTACCCACGATTATTAGTAGGAGCACTCCAAATATTTTTTATTTTTTCCGTGACTCCACCAGGAATAAGCAGTAGGACCCTGGAATATTTTATTTATAATTATTTTATAGTGAAGGAAAGTTAATTTATCTATTACAAACGTTACGTTATTTATCAAACTCTGTTAGAGAATAATGCCTATTAAAATTGAGACTTACATCTACCATTTAAGAAACCTAACTGAAGTGTAAAATTCAACACACGTAAGATATATTACAAAATGCATATTAACACTGAAATTATTGCTTGAAATACTTTGTCAACTGTATGTGCGACCAATAACACCACGGCATGTCATCGTACAACTATTTTCAATTAAATTCATTCTCACAACCTGCTACCGAATTCAAAATGTACAATTGAGTTCATAATCGTCTAACATTAGATAGTATTATAATACATTTGCGAGATAAATTGAGATCTAACATAATAAGGAACTAAAATAATTCGTAAACAGACTCGTCAACGAAACTTAACACTATATTAATTACAATTAATTGTTCAAAACAAACTCAAACAGAGCTACAATTTGAAATCTATCTACAAACAATACATATTGTCATGAATTTGATATAATATACTAAGTTACGGCTTGTGGCTTTCCCCCATTGGTAGTACATAATATTAATAAATACGCAAGCAATAGTAGCTCTTATTCACAGCTCAAATACATGCAATAGAGATAATGTAAAGAATCAATCACAATAGCTCGTTTCATCAATCTTAACCCTTAACTGGTATCGTGGGGGCCGCGCGGCCCCCACGCATGACGTTTTCTTTGATTTCTAAGAGTCTACGCATCGTGGGCAGCCAATATTTTTAGTATTCTCATAACGGCACTACTCGCGTCTGGTGCAGGTGTTTCAGCACTGCATCATTCACTAGGACGAAGTTATGCACGTGTTGGGGTCCGCGCGGCCCCCACAATACCAGTTACGTTAGTTTTTTTTCATGGTATTTTTAATATGTTTTTTATTTTTTCGGTATTGATTCAAGATGCCATGACTTTTAAGTGATAAAACAATAGAAGATACCTAAGAACGAAGTTTTTGATTCCAAATTAGCATGCCAGAAGAAGTATATAGTGATAAAAAAATATCGGTCATTGTGAAGACCTACTAACCATTTTTCGGTCGATAATGAGGAAATTGTTTCTGATTCTCAAGTTATTTCTGCATAGAGTGAAGATGAAGAGTTGTAGGACCTGGTTAATCCAGCTGCTATGATAAAATAAATACAATTGGTCTGATAATCCATCATAAAATTTACATTTTTATTTTTATGAAATGTTAATCATTTTTTATAAAACATTACTATAAATATTTATTTATTATGAAGTTCACATATTTTGGATTAATTAAAATAAACATATTTTTGGTTATGACTTTCGAAACGATGGGTTTCATGGATATTTGATACGTTAAAAAAATATTACGTAAAAAGTTCTTACTATTATGTAATCTCTTGTAGTTCATACGTAAGAAGGTTAATATAAAATAAAAACTAAATGATTACGTAGGACTAGCCTGATACATCCTATTTATGAACATTTATTAAAGTATATAGGTAAAACATGCTTGATGGAAGCAAAGATAGTATGGGGGCCGCGCGGCCCCCACGTTACCAGTTACGTATGTCCAATTTACGATACCAGTTAAGGGTTAAATTAACATTTTAGTTAAGTATACAAAAGTGCTTCATTGGGATTACAAATGGAAGAAAACCATCCACTCCTCGCTAAGTTGTGCTAACAAAGTAGCAATCTTGGATATAGTGTCACATTAAGATCGGACTTTTTTTGCTTACATTGACTAGTAAATTGTTCCACAACAATCGTCGTTTTCGAATCTCGAAAACAGAATCTGCGATGAGATTAAATTTAGATTTCATATTCCCTCTTTCTAAAAAAATAAGCTGTTGATCGAACAATAAAATAAAGATAAATTAAAACAATTCATAAAGTAATGCTTTAATATATAATTTTGTAAAAAATGCTATAATCTCAAACGATTGGCCCAAAACTTAGCGAAGAGTGCCGTCTTTGGGGATATGTTAGCATCCTTACGTAACTCCTACTGCTACGTCAACCGCCTACCTACACTAATATTGCTACAGTAGCGCCATCTACGCTCGATGCTTGCTGAGCCCTTAGCCATTTCTGTCCGATGGCACAAATTTTTGGCTGACTTTTTAGGTATAATTTTCAAAAACTAGGCCAAATAATTTAAAAGCCAATGCTTGAGGTTTTAGGAACGTTGTTCAGTTTGGCACCTCGCTCGACAAGCACCTTGAGGCATGGTGTTGTTGCACCAAACGTGTAAATATAGGCCTTTATCAAATTGTGTTGTAGAGATGAGCGCTAAGTTAGAGAACAAACAAGCTGGAAGAAGAAACTAAATAATGAAAGATTAGAATATTTAGAAAGTTTACAGAATTTTAGATAAAGGGAGAACTATTTGATAGGTTTTAATCTTTCCAGCCTGTTTGTTCACAATACATTTATAAATGCATCAATGTTCAAAACAAATTATAGCCCATAAATTATGACATTAACATTTCTGGCTCTAAACTACCACAGGATAAGATCTGGTATATTATCTTTTCCATTTAAAATCAAACTCAATGGGGCGAGACAGCACAATACAGACGTGACACAATAAATGTTCCCATTTAATTTGAACTCTGGTGGATGGAAATGTTTCAAAAAATATGTCAGTACATGAGTACATCATTAATCTGAAAGATGATTCACATGAATGTTCACAATTTAAAACACTTGGGAACATATTCCCAGGTAAAAAAAGATCTTTTGTTACTAATAAAAATTGCGTCTACAATTTATTTCCAATTTTATTTTTACACTCGTAGATTTACTATAGTTGCTGGGGATTAAACGATCAGCATGTCGATTTCATTTCATAATTGCATTGAGTGCCTATAGTACAGTCATTAAGTCAATTTACAAGACGAGTCGTCTCAATTGATTTTGAACCTTAGGCCCCTCGCCCACGGCGACTTTTTGTAGCGATGCAGTAGCGATTCTGTCGCGCGTTCACATCGATACAGTCGCAATGCGGTCGCTAGCTGTGTGCCCTCGCCCACATCAACGCGTTTCGGTCGCGATGCAAACGCGATTCAGTAACTCTCCCTCCGTTCTCTTCCCGACCGACACGGTCGCGCGTTTGCATCGATACAGTGGCGCTGCTGTAGCGCGTTGGCATCGTGGCAAATGCGAATAACGCGCGTTAGTAAAGCCTGGTCCGTGAGCACATAGAATTTTGTCCAATGACCCCAAGCTACTCATCCTTATCGCTCGCGCGTAAGAATATTGCTGTCGCGACTGTGCGACGGGCGCCTGCAGTGAGTGTGCGAGCGCGACAACAACATAATTACGCGCGAGCGATAAGGATGGGTAGCTTGGGGTCATTGGACAAAATTCTACGTGCTCACGGACCAGGCTTCAGTAGTTTACAAAACGCGCGACAGCATCATTACAAAGTGAAGGCCCTTACACGTTTCAGACAAAGTTCAAACTCAACTGAGGGATCCAACGCCGTAAATGCACGTGACTTACAGGTTGTTTTAGCACAGTACCGTGTTTAGCGGGCGTGCGCTAGAAGTTCTGCTGTCGCTTGCGCTTGAGGTGGATGGCGTCGAGGATGGGCTGCCGCTTGCGCGTGTAGATAATTATCCTTTCGAACCCTGAAGTAAACTGAGGGATCCAAGCACGTAGATACAGGGTGGTTTTAGCACAGCACCGTGTTTAGCGGGTGTGCGCTAGAAGTTCTGCTGTCGCTTGCGCTTGAGGAGGATGGGCTGCCGCTTGCGCGTGTAGATAATTATCCTTTCGAACCCTGAAGTCAACTGACAGATCCAACGCCGTAAACGCACGTGACATACAGGTTGTTTTAGCACAGTAGATCTAAGCACGTAGAAACAGGGTGGTTTGAGCACAGTACCGTCTACCGGGCGTGCGCTAGAAGTTCTGCTGTCGCTTGCGCTTGAGGTGTATGGCGTCGAGGATGGGCTGCCGCTTGCGCGTGTAGATAATTATCCTTTCGAACCCTGAAGTAAACTGAGGGATCCCACCACGTAGATACAGGGTGGTTTAAGCACAGTACCGTCTACCGGGCGTGCGCTAGAAGTTCTGCTGTCGCTTGCGCTTGAGGTGTATGGCGTCGAGGATGGGCTGCCGCTTGCGCGTGTAGATAATTATCCTTTCGAACCCTGAAGTCAACTGACAGATCCAACGCCGTAAACGCACGTGACATACAGGTTGTTTTAGCATAGTAGATCCAAGCACGTAGATACAGGGTGGTTTAAGCACAGTACCGTCTAACGGGCGTGCGCTAGAAGTTCTGCTGTCGCTTGCGCTTGAGGTGGATGGCGTCGAGGATGGGCTGCCGCTTGCGCGTGTAGCGCGCGCGCAGCTGTTCGATCTCCGCTTCCATTTCCGCGTCCAGCCGCGACACGCGCGCTTCCAGCTCCACAACCGACAGGAACGCCAGCTGCCGAGCGACAGGGGAGTATAAACATAAAAAAAATGGGCAGTTGATAACATTGACCCGTCGTACGATTAGCTTGTCGATCGCAGTTTAGGGCCTACGCTGAAACTTGCATGGGACGCACGCACTCGTGTTTATTAGTTCATCATCACTGCTGAACATAGGCCTCCCCTAATGCTTTCCACGTTGATCGATTGGTAGCAGCCTGCGTCCAGCGCTTCCCTGCTACCTTTACGATGTCGTCAGTACACCTTCCAGTTAGTACGCAAAACTGACGGCCGATGGGGCAGCAAGGTTCTGGAATAGAGGCCGCGTACCGGAAAACGCAGCGTGGGACGTCCACCTACAAAGTGGACTGACGACATCGTTTATTAGTTATTACAAACAAAAACAATATGTGCACAGCGTCACGCGCATCGTGCACGCTATCGCGAACGCAGGCTAAACGCTTTAAGGTTCAGCCAAACCAACGTGATCAGACTTTAATGCATTAATCGCCATTGCTGCACGCCAGCTGATCGCGTGTGATCGCGTTGGTTTGGCTGAACCTTTACACGCGCAGTAGAGGCAAGCGCGCGCAGAGAGCGTGCATTACTATGCGGGTACTCGCGACTAATGCCCGCCGCGTCACAAGTTTTAGCGTAAGCCCTTACCAAAAAGTTCAAAACAATTCATTAGACCAATAAATATTTAATAACAATAGTTTTATCGTCGAAAACGTCTAGTAAATACGGTGCAGTCCTGTTGTACCCCTGGTTGCCCCCCAACAAGATTTCGAAATCCTGCACCGTAAATACAATCAAACTCTAAACAAATATTACTGTATTCTATATTATTTCCACTCGCCGCGTAAGTGCCGGTATTTAATAAATGTCATAAAATTATATGTTTACAAAATATATAAAATTAAAAATACAAATACCATAATTATAAAAATAATACACAAAATATAGAAATAAATAAGTTTAGTTAGTATTTTTACTCACAATGGTAATCTAAACAAACAGGGTCATTCATAAAATAGATTTTAAATAATTACTGGATATATTGTTATTGGAACATGTGCCGTGTTTTAGTAAGGTTACGACGAAAGGGTTTTGAGTATAGAGTGGTCAAAGTATAAGTAAAAATATAGAAGGACTACATTGATTTTAATAAGTTAGTAAAAAGGAAGAGCATAGGGTTTCTTAGCAGCCTCACGCCTATAGCACACCGTCTCGATACTATGATAGCAAAACTATAATGCACATTTCTGCACCATGATGCAAATGTGGGGATTTGAACACCGAATAATAATTGTTAATCTGTCATCTCTTTGGCGAATAGACATTTTATTTTATTTATTGTTAAAGTTTTACCAATAACATATAATTTCACGTGCATTGTTACATTATAAGAGAGATAAACCTTTACAGGTAAATATATATATTCAGATAGAGATGGGCTCTATTAAACAAAAAAAACTAATTTTTAATCACCAGATCTTTCTTTGCATTGCACTGTGTCCAATAATTAGTCGACGGGTAATTAGTTTCGCGAGAGGTGTTTGCTACTGGCGTCAGGCGCGAGGAATTCTAACGGCACATGGCACTAGCGGCACACGGCACTAGGGATGGCACACGGCACTAGCGGCACATGGCAATAGGGCCGGCACTCGGCACTTACGGCGCGCGGCGAGCGGCAGCAGCGCGACGACGTGCAGCTGACTTACGAATTCGAAGTTTCCTTCCTCCACGCACGCGCGCTGACTCGCCAGCTCGCTCACCCCCATCACGCTCTCCAACGCCGCCTCCACGCTGAAAACAAACCAATGTCAACTTAAAGCAATGAGGGCTATCGTTTTTATACTTAACAGTTGGCACCCCTGGCGATTGACAGGACCTTACTCTACAGTGGCGCCATCTTGATGAGTGCAAATGCGATATTCCTCCTACCACTTTCGCGCTCACCAGTTGGTGCCACTGTCTTCGCTACTAGCAAGTGACAGGACCTTACTCTACAGTGGCGCTAACTGGTGAGCGCTAAAACTATAGCCCTCATTAGATTAGAAGGGTCGTTTTAGCCCAGGCGCAGACTACCAACTTTTAGTTGGCCGATAATTGGATCGGGCTGTTGATCAGTATGGAGATGTATGAAAGTGCGCACATTACACCGATTTGCTATCGGCCTATTCTTCATACAAATTAGAATCGAGCCCAACTATCGGCCAACTAAAAGTTGGTGGTCTGCACCTAGTCTTAGTGTCACGCTAACTGTCGACTCGTAACTTTTCCGCAAAATAACAAGTTTGTGTCACTTTAACCACTGTCTAGTACTCGACAGTGTAAGCACGGGCGTGTTATTGTAACGATATGCTTTTCTCGCGCCACTTTATCGATTTTATCCACGCCAAACATGTGGGCGATAAGGTTTAGCTCGGCTAGCTAAAAATATTTACGTTTTACATATTTAATAAAAGTACATTATGATAGATAAATAGAAAGCCCTTTATGACACTCATCTTAAATACATCGGCAGTGGTTTAAACACTTATAGTGTTAGTGGTTCATTCATCTTCTATCATTTGAACTAATAAAAAAAAACAGGGAACATACAAACAAAAGGCGAAACAGAGCGGAGCGGATTAGATCGACTTATTTCCACTTTACCGCTCCGCCCTGTTTTGGTGGAAAGCGGTCTTCAAACCCAGAACTTCAGAGTCCACAGTCATCAGTCACAAAAACGTTTCATTTAGATGGTACCTATATTGAGTACTTGTATACTGAGTAGTAGACTATGACAGTTTTGACAGTTCCAACTCCTTGTCAGACAGTTTTTTTAGGATAGCTGCCAAAGCCACGATGACCCAAACTTCATGATTCACCTACATTATATCCTATGTTGGGAGCATACGCTGACAAACTTTCAGCTTTTATAAAATGACGAAGGTCTGACGTTCACCAGCTCTTAGTTTATAGCAGTCTTTCCCAAAGTGGGCGATAACGCCCCCTTGTGGGCGCTGCAGGCTTAAAGGGGGGCGGTAAGAGACCCAGAAAAAAAATCGGGACGTTGTGTAGAGGCTTGGGAGGCGTCATCTACTAGGAGGACTCTTAGACATCGACTGAGCTCGACTCTTGACTACAAAAATGGGGGGCGCTAAAAATAATGTATTCTCAAAGTGGGCAGTAGACTAAATAAGTTTGGGAACCGCTGGTTTAGATGGTATATTGAGTGCACGTGCACTAAGTAGTGTACTGACCCGTCGCCCTGCGGCGGGCGGCGCGGCGCGGCGCCGTTGGCGGCGGAGAGGTGGTTGACCTCCTTCTTGTCGAAGTGCTCCAGGAACAGCGGCCGGTACTTCGGCCGGTTCGTGTCCATCGGGTCCGTGTCGTGCCCTGAGCAGAAACATTTATACCGTTACAAGTGTACAAATAATGTAATTTTTTTTCGCACACCCAGTGTTTTGCCATACCTTGAGAGATGCCAAAGTAAAATAAATTTTAGGGTCTAAAGTACGGCCAACTAGCAGCGATACAAAAGGTCCATTCGACTGTCGAACAGACAATCTATTCTGTCTCTTCCCATCTTGTGTATTTGTCGTAATGTCTCGTTCTCACGCCAAAATATGTCAAATTCAAACCCTTAGGCTGGGTTGCACCATCTTACTTTAACTTTGACAAACGTCAAAAATCTGTCAAATTCCATACAAAAAGCACCGGTTATCGTCATAGTTACTGTAGGCGATNCCTAAAGCCGTCCCTTGGGACCTTGGACACGGCCTGAGTCAATGTCTGAGTGACCGTGGGGCCATCTGGCCGCGTCCGTAGTCCCCTCGATCGGGCCCGCTAGAGTGAGCCCGCCGTAGGCTGGACTTTGGTCCAACACCGCGGTGGGCAACCCTCTAGTTGGGTTCGCTACTGATCTTGCGCCTTATGCGCACGATACGACCCGATCGCAAACATCGGTCTGAGACAACAATCCCCACAACCCACAAGTGAGGTTCCCAGGCCCGTGCATCAGCCGCAGATGCCTGTCCATCTTCTCCCGCGTGACCCTGCTGTCGCACAGCTCGCACTTGACCCTGGCGTCCAGCGCCGGATGGTAGCTGGCCATGTGGCGGTCTATACTCCTGCAGGATACCATCATCATCATCATTCAAGTATGGTAAGGGGCCGTCCATTAATTACGTGAGACAAATTTGGCGATTTTCCAAACCCCCCGCCCCCCCTTGGTGAGATTTGGTGAGATTTTTCCAGACCCCCTCCCCCTCCCCACAATCTCACGCGAGATTCTTGAAATACATAAAATATTTGCAATGTAAATGGGTTATCTATGTGTAGGCGATGTAGGTCGATGGGTGAACGAAAGATGATGAAAAAATGAAATGAAAGTCCAGTTTGTAGTAGAAAAACCGAAAGGCGCGTCCGGGGGTGCGTACGTGCGTTCGCGGAAGTTGTTGGATCACGACTGGCGGCTCTCGGCCCCGTGTGCGGCGCGGTGGGCCGCGAGTGGCTTCTGGCCATAAAAGGACAGAGGCCTCCGGCCAATCAGCGGGCCGCATCGCTAACGGCTAGCTCTAGCATGTTCTAGGCGCGACAATATTATTACCTACGCGCACCCGGAGTTGCGTATTATTTATTGATACCAAAACCAAACATAAACATGTAGGTAAACAACCGTAATTTCCAAATGGGATATAAAACATTTAGTCTTGTAAGTATAGGTAAGTAATTGCAGATACATATAGCATTTTAGAGACATATTTCAGTTACTGAAAAAGGTAAATCTAGTAGGTAAAGGAAGTTTCGTAAACAAAATACAAGGTTATTAATAATTATTTTAGTTACATGATATATCTCAAGAAACATAAATACGTAGATCTAGCTACCTAGTATCTACTCTTGGTGGCCATCGTCAACATCCTCCCCNGTTACCGTTAAAGATAGGTGGTGCAACCCACCCCTACTATTCCAAATGACCATGACATTGGGTTTGTTTACATTTGGTATCGCTTCTCGTTGGCCGTAGTTTACACTAAAACTTGCATATGTATGAATACAAATACACGCACGCTCCCGCCGCGCGTGTGGAAATATTACACGTAAGCACGCGTCATACCGTGCTGTTAGCGTAGTATGTTCGCATTGTCAAGGTACTTGAAGAGAACGTACTCTATGTTTTACGTAATAAGACAGGCAGGCTGATCCGTGCCGTCATCGCTCTCCTGCATTATATCCCGGTCTTAGCAGTAGTCAGCGTCAAATAGTTTGTGACACCCAAAGTGGCCAAAAAATTGAATGATGAAAATTGATTATTTTAATTGTAACAAAGACGTGTTGCGAACTATTTGGCTACTTTCATCATCATAATCATCATTTCAGCCATAGGACGTCCACTGCTGAACATAGGCCTCCCCTAATGCTCTCCATGTTGATCGATTGATAGCGACCTGCGTCCAGCGCTTCCCTGCTACCTTTACGATGTCGTCAGTCCACTTTGTAGGTGGGCGTCCCACGCTGCGTTTTCCGGTACGCGGCCTCCATTCCAAAACCTTGCTGCCCCATCGGCCGTCAGTTCTGCGTTCTGGGCACATAGCCCTGCCCTTTGCTACTTCAGGTGTCGCAAAGTATTTGACGCTGAGCGCATAGTGACTCACGCTTCATGGTGGCGAGGTCGGCGTCGGGCTCGTTGATGACCATGGTGCCGAGGTCGGCGGCCAGCTCGGCGGTCCCGTCGCGTTGCGGCACCAGCGTGCCGTCGTCGCGCTTCTTCATAGTCTCCTCGTCGTAACCCTCGCCCTGGAAGGTAGACAAGAGAGTATCGTTAGGACCTACGTTAAAACTTGGGCGGACACAAAGAGCGGGTGCCCGCTCCAAACGTTTGACGCGGCTATACACCAGGAGGGAAAATCTGAAACGAGAATTCACCTATTAACGGAATGCATGCCCGCAGCGTGCGCCAGCCTTTCACTACGCGTATGTAAAATCTGTGATACACAGGCGCGCCACACCATCCTATTCATACTATTTTTCATACAAAAACAGGTGCAGGCGTGCGCTTGAGTTTAAGTATAGGGTCTTCGTGTTGACATCACAAATTCTAAATCTTCTGATATGTATGATTTGTGAGCAAAGATGACGAGCACTTGTGAGCAAACATGTGCGTCTTATTGGAGACTTATTACAAAAACATTGAACTCGCAATGAACAGTGGTTTATAAAAATGATATTTCCATACTAAATGTCAATTTAAAATAGTGATCAACGCAAGTATAACTTTTTGTAATAAGGGGGATAATGTTTAGTGTTCTAATGATATAGGGCTCTTATGCCCGTTTTCACCATCAATCCCTAATTTTTAAGTGACCGTTATGGTAACACATAACAGGAACTTTATTTTCTTATGGCTCACTTAAAAAATAGGGATTGATGGTGAAAACGGGCATTAAGACATCGGTATGATCGGAGTAGTTACCGGCGCGGGCAGGCGTGCGCCGTGCGCTCGCGTGGCCTGCTGCTCGCGTAACTCGCGCGCCTCCGCGATCATGGCGCTCAATATCGACGCCTGCTTCGCGTTGCCTGCAAACACCACACAACCCATCATAATTTATGCTCAATCTAATGAGGGCTATCGTTTTAGCGCTCACCAGTTGGCGCCACTGTAGAGTAAGGTCCTGTCACTTGCTAGTCGCGAAGACAGTGGCGCCAACTTGTGAGCGCTAAAGTGGTAGGAGGACTATCGCATTTGCACTCATCAAGATGGCGCCACTGTAGAGTAAGGTCCTGTCAATCGCCAGGGGTGCCAACTGTTAAGTATAAAAACGATAGCCCTCATTCTATAGAGTAGTTTTCACCATGAGGGCTATAGTTTTTAAGCATAACTGTTGGCACCACTTGCGATTAACATAATCCTATTCGACAGAGGCGCAATCCTGGTGAGTGCAAATGCAATAGTCCTCCTACCGCTTCAGCGCTAGCTGGTTGGCGCTACTGTCTTCGCCACTAGCAAGTGACAGTGACCTTACTCGACAGTGGCGCCAACTGGTGAACGCTAGCGCTCTTTGATATACTTTTAAAAGCTATCAAAACGCGTCACAGCATTTAGTTATGTAATCGTTTAACATACATACCGATAAACTCGTGGTTTAATAAAAATTCTGCAGTCGCTCTCTCTTCTGGGTTCTTTATAAGGCACTGGCTGACGAAGTCTATGAACTCTGGCGACCACTGGTCTGGTTCTCTGTAATTACAAAAACATATCAATTAGTTTATTTACTTTTCTTAGAATTTAGTTTGACTAAGGCTAATCAAAAGTCAAAACAAACAAGACTTGGCCTTTGCCTGAGCCGGAGCTCGCATAGGTAAGTGACACTTAAACAGGCTAACATTGGTCAATTGAATATCGAAATGTGTACTTATTAGTTAAGGACTGAAAAAGGTTCTGTGGAAAAAATTTCATCAAGGACACAACCTTTAGAGTAGGCGCACACCGTTGATTTTTCGTCGGCCGATAGTTTAGTCGGGCAATTCATCAGTATGGGCATGTATGGGAGTGCGCACACTACGCCGATTCGATTTGGCCGATTCTTCATACAAATTAAAATCGGACACAACTATCGGCCAACTAAAAATCAACGGTGTGCGCGCCTACTTAGTAATGAAGATCACCAGTGGCCTAATTCACGTATTGTGACAGTCAAGATCTCGCTGACGTTCAGAAGTCGTGCCATTGAAAAACAGTTCTAAATCCGTATTCATAAGGGTCATTTCGATATAACTATTACTCGATAGGGTCGCATTCAGCGATTTGTTGTCGTTGAAGTTGTTACATGAATGAGGCTACAGAACGACATCCTGTACCTCCAAAGGCAGCATCATACCTGAACGAAGGCGGCGGCTTCGTCGGTATCATGAATATGGCGCGCATGGGGTGTATGTCGCCGTAGGGCGGCTTGCCTTCCGCCATCTCCAGCGCCGTGATGCCCAGCGACCAGATGTCGGCCACGCAGTCGTAGCCGATCTCCTGGATCACCTCGGGCGCCATCCAGAAGGGAGTGCCTATTACTGTGTTGCGTTTTGCCATTGTGTCCTGGAAGGCAGAAGGTATATGGTTTTAATAAGGGCTATCCTTTTTATACTTAACAGTTGCCACCACTGGATAATGTCATGACTCTACAGTGGCGCCGTCTTGGTGAGTGCGACATGACTCCACAGTGGCGCTGTCTTGGTGAGTGCGACATGACTCCATAGAGGCGCCATCTTGATGAGTGCAATATGACTCCACAGTGGCGCTGTCTTGGTGAGTGCAACATGACTCCACAGTGGCGTCAAATGGTGAGCGCTAAAACGATAGCCATTACTACGGCTGGTAATAGGGTAGTTCAAAGCCATTGGAATGGCTGGTAATAGAATAATTCACACCACCAGCCATTAGGCATACTTTTTATAAGCTGCACTGCAGAAGCACCCTTCTAATTTATCAGAGACAAATGGAGGATTTGACCAACACTACCCACGCTGCCGGCAATAGGAGCCTATGACGTCACTATTTTGCCAACTCAATTAACTAACCATTTTTAGTTTTAAAGCAACTAAAATTCCAAATTCATTCATAAGGATTTGCATAATTTTGGACCGTCAAACTTCCACTTTGGCGATATTACAAATATACTGGCCCAAAGTTGCCGCCAACATATTATTCTTACCGTAACCTGTTACTGACTCTTAGGCCAATTCAGTTAAGATTTCAACTCATCCCATCCCAACTAATATTATAAATGCGAAAGTAACTCTGTCTGTCTGTCTGTCTGTCTGTCTGTTACGCTTTCCCGCTTAAACCTCGCAACCGATTTTGATGAAATTTGGCATAGAGATAGTTTGAGTCCCGGGAAAGAACATAGGATAGTTTTTATCCCGGTTTTTGAAACAGGGACGCGCGCGATAAAGTTTTTCTGTGACAGACAAAATTCCACGCGGGCGAAGCCGCGGGCGGAAAGCTAGTAAAATCTATAATGCAGACACAAATTATTTTTCTCTTGGTCATAAGAATCTATTCTGTCCCGATACAAACTCACAATCAACTGTCCCGCGACGCCGAAGTCCGCCAGCTTGGCGTGTCCCTCAGTGTTGAGCAGGATATTTCCAGGCTTGATGTCCTGGAGGATCTTTCTCCGCCGGTGCAAGTACTCTAGGCCCTAAGCAAGTCTACACTGTCCCGTTACAAACTCACAGTCAACTGTCCCGCGACGCCGAAGTCCGCCAGCTTGGCGTGTCCCTCAGTGTTGAGCAGGATATTTCCAGCCTTGATGTCCCGGTGGATCTTTCTCCGCCGGTGCAGGTACTCCAAACCCTTGAGTGTGTCGCACAATATCGTTGCTATCTCGTCTTCCGAGAGCGTCTTCTTCCGTAGCCTCATGATGTCTGAGACTGAACCGGCGCCGCAGTATTCCATTACGATCTGAAGGTGAACATTGTTGAATTAAATGACGTAACTGAGAGGCAAGAAGATTATGTTTCGGTTGCGGTAAAGCGTAGGCAACTATGTAGCTAACGATATCAAGGATTATACAAAAGGTTTACGAACTAGACGTTCTGCTTATGGGTATTTAGAAAGGAACTAGACATGGGAATCCTTGATATCTGACTTTATATTGTATGTGGTCGACAGATAGTTACGTCACCCTGTGCCCGCGGTAGATTATCAAAAATCGTTGCTGATATTAAAACTGTATAATTCTTCAATTATTGAGGGGAAAACTAGCTACGCCCCCTGCTAGCATAATTACGTGTCATTCAAGTAATTTATTGATATTTAATGATTATGATGATAGTGTATCAGAGTAGAACAGGCATGTATTGAGCCGCGGATGAATGTATAGGGAAATTACTCGCGGCTTCGTTTCTTTAGGCTCCGGAGGACACCGAGTCGGGTTTTAATGGGTAGGTTTGCGGGGCGAGTCCCATATAAACCACATACCCATGTGGGACAAAAAAAGGACGGCATGTTTAACACAACCAATAATTCCTGCCGCTCTGTCCAACAATGGTTTCCGCAGAATAACAGCGTCATGTGCCGGGTTTTACTACCTCAGAGCATGACACATGCTGAGCGGTGGCCATTTTTGGTTCTAACTTATTCAAACTGTGTTAGTTTTATTTTCGGACCAAAATAAATGTTTTTCTTTCTATCAATAACAGACATAAACATTTCAATAGGTCAACAACTTGACCCCTGCCGACTCACCCACAGGTCTGTGTTCTTGAAGTAGCTGCCGTAGTACTTGACGACGTAGGGGCTGTCGCACTGCTGCATGATGGAGATCTCCTTGATAATCTCCTGCAGGTCCGTGTCCACCGGCACCTGCTTGATGGCCAGCACCTGCCCGCTCTCTTTGTGGAGTGCCTGGAGAGTGACAGAAAACGAATAAGTTTCCCTATAAGCAAATCCTTTACTATACAAACAACTGGCCGTAACAGCGTGGGGAGGGTAAACGAAAGCCTCCGTTTGCCTTTGGTAAATGAGTTTATTTTTTATTTTATTTATTAGGACAACCAACTAAAGTTTGTCATACATGGAATTACTATAACTAAAAGTGCTGAGAACTAAGTGTTGTCTTAAATAAAGACTGCCACGGCATGCAACTAACTAAATAACTTGATGATGGTAGACAGACGACTGAGAAAGGACTACTACCTAACGGTCTACTAATCAGTGCAGGGGACAACATAGTGAAAGTGTAAAATGAAGGATGAGAATATTTGTCTCGAGATTGGCATAGTCGAGAATTTGAGGAGCCAGATAAAGAACAAATAAAAAGGTATACCTAAAAAAAGCCAGAGTGATGAGATGACCTAGGTAGGACCCATTGTAACCCAGGTCATAATAAGGTCAAACTTCTATATTAGTGAATGTAAATGTTGGCGCCAGCGTTGTCCATAACAAACCACTTCACCTCTCCATAACATAAGTGTGTCAGCAATCATCACACAAAAGTGAACTACAGCCATACAGCTTTCATTAAACGTAATAAATCAAAGTCTTCGAGTTGATAACTGCAGATAAAGATCGGAACACGTAGCCCTTCATTAGCGCAGCCTGCATATGAATGAAGGTCATTAAATGATTACATAAAGTTAGCCTATAAGTTAGGAGGGTGAGGGTCTCGAGTAGTTCATCACGCGAGCGGCACCTTACTCCCTGCAGGGCGTCGAGGGTAGCCAGGCGGCCTAGTGGCGCCGTAACACATACAAACTGTCCATATTTCTTTAGAGCTTTGATTTAGTTTAGCCAAAAGTGTCAAAATTCTTCTTTAGAAATGCAGACACATTCCTCGTTAAGGTTTCCGATAATTCCATGTCCATGTTCTTCAGACAGATAAGTAATTAGGTAAACACTTGTAGTACACTTTTTACACGTTGAACGCCACGCGGCACCAGTGAGCCTCAAACAATAAAATTCATGTCTCGGCATCTCTAAGGTTGTGACAAACGCTACGGCTGAACATCATTCATAAGTATTTTGATTATTTTTACAAAATGTCAACATTTTGAACAATCCGTTGGCATATACAAAAATAATAAACATTCAAGCCGCTATTTGAACGGCGCTGTTTAGTAAAGAGGCTAGGCTGTTGATTGAACGGCTAAATTAAGCTAGTTTTCTGCGTATCAATTGCAATCAAGCTGTTAAATCCCAAGCAAACAAATGCTCTTTTTACAACTGCAGAATGAAAACGCCGGCATTCATAAACGCATCAGCCAATTAGGACAGGTCCACAGACGGCGGGTAAATAAACACGAGCAGTGTAAACACGCTGGCAGCGGGCCGAGACCGACCCTAGGTACTACGGTCGCCACATGCCAAGATATCACAGGATACGAATGCGTTAGAAAGTTGCTTCTAGTAACACTAATAGGCTAGTTGCCTAAAAAAATTTTCTTAGTCCGTAATGTTTAATATCAAAAAATATTGGACACATATATTTTTATTTGTCAATCTAACAAATAATTACATAGTTATGGTGCGTTGAAGTTGCGCACGACGTCACAACGTGCGGCATTTTTAAGCAAGCGTTGACGTCACGCTCACGGGCCTCTTCTTATGAACTTTGGGGCGCTTTATCTCTTTAAATTTTCATTAGTTTGAAAAAGTGAAAAATACGTGTAGAGTATTTTTTGATAAGTTAACTGACGGACTAATTAAAACTCTTGCTTTTTGACCCAGGCAACATCCCCATTGGACGTGTTAAATTTCTCAGAATAAGTGAATTTTAATGAACTCTTTGGCTCTATCGTCTTATCACAGATAGTGTCGTGAAACAGAGCGACACAAATGACAAACATTTGTCTTAGTTTTTGGGTCGTGTCTGTCGGTGGTTGTCTTACGGTTAAATATTAGATTTCGTAAGGTGAACATAGCGTTATCCTAACTTTTGTGAAGTCACAAACACGCCCAAAGGGAGTTGGTAGAGATCACATTTTTCCCAAGACGATAGCCGATTAATAAATTCGCTTGTACCTATACCGTTTCAAAAGCCTGAGGATATTTAAAACTAATCAGACTTTTTGAAAACTTTAATAATGGAGACCCTACCCGAGACCGTGGCTACAGGGAGGGGAAAATTGAATAAGTTAGGCACTTGGCTTTTTAGGCGAGCACATGTCTGCTATAAAATAAAACTCATGGAAATATCATGTCTGTGAAGGCATGGGACCCAGAGGGGACCGGAGTATCATTAGTGCATAACACTGAACAAAACGTAATGAGTAATATTGGAAGCAGTGCATATTATTTTGCACCGAGAAATAGAAAGTTTGATTTAGTCTATTTCTATTGGGTAAAAGCAACTTTTTTAAACGAAGCGGTATTAAAAGAAACTGTTTCTAAAATAGATGTCAGGGATGGCAAGGGTCGCAAACACATTCGCTCTAAAAGATACATTAGGAAATTATTTTCTTGGAGGGATTATTAATATTTTTGAAATATTCTTTGATAGTGTGTGTGTAGTGTAACCACGGTGTAACTCGTATTTATTTTGTCATCTCGTGCAGACTACACTTGCAAGTGAAAACATGAATTGGGTAGTAGATTAATTAGGCTGGGTTGCATGCACTGATGTACTATCTTACTTTAACTTTGACAAACGTCAAAAATCTGTCAAACTTCATACAAAAACACCGGTTAACGCTATAGTTACGGTCAAAGTTAGGTGGTGCAACTCAACCTTAATATTTAATTAAGTTACCTTGTATACGCTGCCATAGGAGCCTTCTCCGAGTTTGCAGATGATGTCGAAGACCTCCTCGGGCTGCCGCGTTAAACTCTCCTCTGAGAGTTTCTTTAGTTCGCTGTAACAATTCAAAAAATACTATAAATAATTTGCATCAATTGACCCTATAGAAATGTTGGTAAGATCATTTATCAGAATAAGATGGGGGAGGCCGTTGCCGTTGTCCAGCTGTGGACGTCATTTGGCTGAAACGAATGAACGAACGACAAGTTGACTGATTAAACTGAGTTAAAAGTAGGTAAATAAAGCTCAGTATAAAATTAAATCATTACAGTTTCTGATGATAGCAGCTTTGTATCAACAACTGTTCTATGCTCTATTAAGGTCGAACCAAAAGGACCCTTACTACACGTTAGGTCATGGACGACGTACTTGAGTATAATAGTTCCACGTTATTTTACTACGGTACCCTACGAAAGTTTTACACCGAATCCGGATAATTTAATGTCCCCAATAGGAAGTAAACCATGTAATATCGTAGCAAAGCGATATAACTGTCACCGTAAAATTGTGAATTCCGTCAGATTATAATCTGACGTGGTTAAATTACAATCTAACCTAACCTAACCCACTGTTAGTTTACAATCTAACGCGTTATATTATAAACTGACAGAGTTCACAATTTCACGTTGACATATCCACCCGGCTCCCACGCCTTATCATATCGCGTCAAACAACCGCGGACGCAGACAATGGCTGTCGTGTCGACGGCCCCTTATCGATGGGGTACGCGCCCCGGCTTGTTCTTCAACTAGTATTTTGTTTTATTGCTGTAAGGGCAATCGTTTTCCTGTTTGAAGATCTGACATCTTGGTCTGTATTTCAGAATAATATAAATAATATAAAATGCAAAACTATTATAATGGTCGCTGCAGAATATCTTCATCATACGAGTACTACTAAATTGACTGTTATGAATAAACGCATTTTTGGCATTCTTCTCCAGCCACTCTCTACGAAATGTAAGTATAAAAATCAAACAATGACAAAGCATAGGAACCATAAATGATTCCCGACACGCAATCTGGAAAGTTGCTAATCTAATAATGGGAAACTCCAGGTGTTCAGGTTGAAGAGAACTCTAACTGGCTAGTTTCATTGATTTGAATGACATGAAAGAAGTTGGCAAAGTGGTGAATAATATGACTAAGATCGTAATGAAGAATATACCAGCTACAAAAATACATATCTTATTAAGATAAGAGATGCTTCCGTAAGTAATCAAAAGTGAAACTAGGGCAAGAATACATGACAAATCCGGATTCTTTATTAGGCATGTGTCCTTTTCAGGCCTCTTATATTCACTTTCACCACTTCGAGACATTGAATCGGCTAGTGATGAAAAAAGCAAGAAACTTATTCTCAACGTTGAACTGGATTTCAAAGACCCTTTGAAAATACTGATAAAAATTAAGTTCCTACATAATTTGAAACTTTCAAATTCCATACATCATTGGTGAGGTGAATGCGTGGCATCCACGGCATCTGTCGCGTTGCTATTAATAGCGGTAATTATTCTCGCATGTGTAACAATGTGCCACCTGAATCTATTAGACATGATACACATAAATTTTTTACAGGATCAGAGTCCACAGATGATATTGTCAGGCGATGGGAAAAAATGAAAACGAAAGCCAAGAGGGTAGAAATAGATGTTTTAATACGAAAACGAGAAGAGAACGATCAAAGAAGACAAAGTTGGAACGTTTCTAAGATGATCTATTATTATTGCCGAAAAGGTACGGGACTATTCCCACCTCTCGTTCCGCCACTGCAACTCCTGTGTAGCTAGGATCTACAGCTTGACCGTCAATAAAAAACTTGCCAAAAAGGGACTCAAAAACTCGATATAACCTTATTTGACATAATATGGAATGGTAAAGAAAACACTGTGATGTGCTAATGGCAAGATCCGGGAACAGAAGAAAAAAAATGCCAGTCCAACATCATGAGATTCCACAAAGTTAAAATTACTGTGCCATATACTCCTTTTGATACTTTACGAGCTTTGCAGAAAACTTTGCTTGGTATTTATTATTGAAAATCGCCCAAACTTCACAAACAAGCCTGTTAAAACAATCTGCGTGTACAGTCACAACAGTACGTAAACGGCAATAAATCGCTTAAAAAAATATTGCCTTCTATTAATAGACTCGTGGAAATAAATACAATGTAACAGGCACGTAAACAAGTGATCGAAAATTAGTCAATCAAGCATGAGTAACGGCGGGTCATACAACACTCGTGTTATCTGCTAAATGGAGCGTAAACTGTATGCAAGTTGATACTGCAATCTGTAATACACATCAATATAACTTCATTACGCCATTAACAGTAACACCCAAATAGGTAGGCACATAAGATCAATGCATGGATCTTAATGAAAAAACTACCTACAACCGTGTGTCAAGTTAAAAAATGGACCAGTCCTTTATAAGAAAAGGGGGAGAAAATGGTGATGGATGGCTGAAATAAAAAGGATATTTTCAAGTAAAAAATGCAGATAAACTGCCTCTGGGTGTTTTGATGAATGAATAACAGTTTTTATCAATCTGAGAAGTCGGGATTTTACAGTGAATAACGTTAACACTTTTAAAGAAACAGCGATGACATGAACCGGTTCGAATACCTCCGAGCTATTTAAAATTTTTAATACTTAGGTATGTATTCTGCAAATTGTTCTTTGAAACAATCATCTATAATGGTATCAGTGTTGATTTATCGAACTTATTTCTGCCTTTACGGCCCTGAAGGCAGATAATGGCCAAGTTTATGATGGGTCGCCGACAGTTTTATGGCCTCCATAACTAAACCATGGCTAGCACGAGACTTTCCTAGAGGGGCAGAATAGTTTGCGACGTAGAATTAACTCATAGTTAATATTGATTTAAGATCTTGATTTAATCAATTCTGTTCGGAAACGTACCCATTTTTTTTTTCGTTTCAGCCAAATGACGTCCTACTGCTGGAGTGCTGGACAAAAGCTTCCCCAAGATTATTAAAAAAACTATTATTTTGTAAATATTATGATTTTTTATTTTGATGAAGGTAGATATTTCAGTTCGAAAATTATATTACCTTTCTACTTATTGGTAGTATTTTAATAAGATTTAATAATAGAAACTGTTTTCGTAAATTAACCTGGAATTATACGTTCGTTTATAATTCTGTTCTTTTCTTAGTATCTATTTGGCAACGAGTTCAAACCAATTTCTTGGTATGGCTCATTCTAAAAACCTCACCGACTCGACCGTTCAATTTTGCACTCAACGCCGCATAAATAAATCTGTGTCAACTCGTTACCATAGGTGTTAAACGTGAATAGGCACTTTCCTCGAACTCAAAAAGATACTTTAAAACCTCTACTACAACAGGCCTAGCAGATAATTTCACCAGTAAATATTTAACACAAAACTTTGGAAAAATTTCAATCAGACTACATTTTCTGAGCTAACAGTACACTGATGGAAGCCATTATACTTTCAATTCTTGATTTCCCAGGGTACAATGAATAACCGTACAAGTCGAAGTGAACCGCCAACCGGGAAATTCCCATGAAAATAAAATGGAGACAAGCAAACAATGAAACTAAATAACTTTCACATGTTGTTGTTGCGACTGATAAGTGATAATAGACGGAAACTTGTCGCGATAAAACTATATTTCCTTAACCTATTACATACATTGCAGATAACAGTCACCACAACAGTCTATAAACATTCGATACTAAACATAAACATCTCATATCCGATACTCAGCTCTATTACGTAATAAAGCCGTGGTCTTGACCCGAGCGAAACAGTTCAAAGATCTAAAGATAAAGAAGATCAGACAAACAAAAAAAGGCTGCATACAAAACTAATAGTGAAGATGTCTACGAACTTCAGAAGGGCTACTTTAAACTATTAGAGAAGAAAAAGAGTTCTTCAATTCAATTTAATTAACATTCCCAATCTCATCAGGCCAGCACTTGTTTATTTGTTCAAGTAAACATTGATACAGACCAAAACACGAGATTCGAAGAAACATGACGCACGAAATTGGAAAGGTGAAACAAGTACCTTTAATTAAGAGAAAGTGGGATACAGGAAATGTGGAAATACCAAATATGACGTTTCAATGACGCAAAGGACTATAATCGAAAACAACTTGTTGGCTTATTGCTGAAAAACATGAATTAGGCTATGCGAACCCCACAAGATTGAGACATTGGTGCTAAAACAAAAGTCATGGCATCTTACTGGAGATTCTTGACTTTTACCATAAATAATCCCGTACTATACATTTTTCCTCCGCACATTGTTGAGACACATGTGTGGCCCAAAATTACATTGTATAATTTTAGTTTATGATCTCCAGAGAGAGTGTGTGTTATGAAACATTCCAATCTTTTGTTCCATTGTCAACATTTGTCAGCATTTACAATAACAGGCAAACCACTAACGCTATTATTAGTTTTGGTAATGTACAACTAATTGTAATTAATAGGCAAAGTAGGATAATTTTGCATTATTTAAGGAAAATATTTATTTTACCTATATTAGCTGGCATACCAATACAGTAAGTAAACAAAGGAAGGAAAAACATACAGGTTAGAAGGCATACATGAGAGTAACTCATAACCGCATACAAAGAGATGACATGGAATTTGGGAAAGAACCAGAGAGGGCCTAATACGCACCCTTGCGAAGCCATCCTATCGTTTTCAGTCATCCTGTCGGCGCGGCGTTTCTTGCAGGTGTTGCAGTTTAAGGTAGGCGCACCCCCCTCCCACACTCCACTCTTCCAGAAAACTAGCCTTCCTTCACTATCCATGTGGCACTAACATTGTTACCACGTGAAACTACCGCACTAGAAAAATATTTGTTTCAAATGTAACACACAATACACAAACTTTTTATCACGTTCACTACACCGACACAAATATTTTCCTTCGTTCTGAAAAATTGTTTAACCACACAAGATAACTTTATCTCACTGATCGACGATCCAAACCACCGAAGCTTTAGCTTTAAAGCTAATCAGATACCGTTTTTACGTAACCAATTCTCAGAAAGA